ATGTTCCTCCAGCTCGGGTTGTTTTTTTTTTTTTTTTTTTTTTTTTTTCTAAGCCCGCTTTTTGAGGAGAGGACGGCGTCGGAAACAGGTTTCTGCAGTGAAATGTTAAAATAATGATAGGGGCCGACTCTACAGAGTATCCAGTAGAGTCTGCAGATTCCTGAGTAATTGTTGGCAGGTTGAGCTGGAAAGGCAGCGGCAGGCGTCTGTCAAACAGAGTTTGGGTGAATTTAGTAATGAAGTGCTTTTGGATCAAATTAGAGGAGTTGATGGATGAATAGATGAAGGAAAGTTCCAGGGAAAGGTCAGGAAGCGTGCGGCGGGCAGGAAGCGGCGTGCTGATCCTCACATCAACAGTGTTTGCTTTAGATGGTTTTTATGACGCGGTTAAAGCGTTTAAATGAAACGCTGACAGGAAAGTTAGCGTCTGTCAGGAACTTCTCACTCTACTGCTTCTACCGCCATGTTTAAAACTCTGCAACGGTAAGGCAGCACCTCTTTATGCCAATAGGAGTAAAGTTTCTAAAATATAATAAAATATGACCTGAGAAATTTTATTTTAACCCCTTCAGCCCAGAAGGTCTTAGCAGCAAATTCCACCTGAAATTACATGTTTGAATTAAAGCAAGTTCAGCTCCTAAACTATAAATTAGAAATAAAATAGTTTGTATTTATGTGACAGAAAGACATTGAGGAATATATTTCAGGTGGAACCAATATTTGAAATGTCACCATGTTGGATTTACAGGTGCTGGTCATAAAATTAGAATATCATGAAAAAGTAGATTGATTTCAGTAATTCCATTTAAAAAGTGAAACTTGTATATTATAGTCATACATTACATACAAACTCATATATTTCAGATGTTTATTTTGTTTAATTTTGATGATTACAAATGACAACAAATTAAAATCTCAAATTCATCATATCAGAAAATTAGAATATTGTGAAAAGGTTCAAAATTGATGGCCCCTGGTGCCACACTCTAATCAGCTAATTAACTCAAACCACCTGCAAAAGCCTTTAAATGGTCTTTCAGTCTAGTTCTATAGGCTACACAATCATGGGGAAGACTGCTGACTTGACAGTTGTCCAAAAGACGACCATCGACACCTTGCACAAGGAGGGCAAGACACAAAAGGTCATCGCTAAAGAGGCTGGCTGTTCACAGAGCTCAGTGTCCAAGCACATTAATAGAGAGGCGAAGGGAAGGAAAAGATGTGGTCGAAAAAAGTGTACAAGCAAGAGAGATAACCGCACCCTGGAGAGGATTGTGAAACAAAACCCATTCAAAAATGTGGGGGAGATTCACAAAGAGTGGACTGCAGCTGGAGTGAGTGCTTCAAGAACCACCACACACAGACGTATGAAAGACATGGGTTTCTGCTGTCGCATTCCTTGTGTCAAGCCACTCTTGAACCACAGACAGCGTCAGAAGCGTCTAAAGAGAAACAGGACTGGACTGCTGGTGAGTGGTCCAAAGTCATGTTCTCTGATGAAAGTAAATTTTGCATTTCCTTTGGAAATCAAGGTCCCAGAGTCTGGAGGAAAAGAAGAGAGGCACTTCATCCACGTTGCTTGAAGTCCAGTGTAAAGTTTCCACAGTCAGTGATGGTTTGGGGTGCCATGTCATCTGCTGGTGTTGGTCCATTGTGTTTTCTGAGGTCCAGGGTCAACGCAGCCACATACCAGGAAGTTTTAGAGCACTTCATGCTTCCTGCAGCTGACCAACTTTTTGGAGATGCAGATTTCATTTTCCAACAGGACTTGGCACCTGCACACAGTGCCAAAGCTACCAGTACCTGGTTGAAGGACCATGGTATCCCTGTTCTTAATTGGCCAGCAAACTCTCCTGACCTTAACCCCATAGAAAATCTATGGGGTATTGTGAAGAAGAAGATGCAATACACCAGACCCAACAATTCAGAAGAGCTAAAAGCCACTATTAGAGCAACCTGGGCTATCATAACACCTGAGCAGTGCCACAGACTGATCGACTCCATGCCACGCCGCATTGCTGCAGTAATACAGGCCAAAGGAGGCCCAACTAAATACTGAGTGCTGTACATGCTCATACTTTTCATGTTCATACTTTTCAGTTGGCCAACATTTCTATAAATCCTTTGTTTTTATTGGTCTTCAGTAATATTCTAATTTTCTGATATGATGAATTTGGGATTTTCATTTGTTGTCATTTGTAATCATCAAAATTAAACAAAATAAACATCTGAAATATATGAGTTTGTATGTAATGTATGAATATAATATACAAGTTTCACTTTTTAAATGGAATTACTGAAATCAATCTACTTTTTCATGATATTCTAATTTTATGACCAGCACCTGTATAGGTGATTAAACAAAAAAATGAAAATTTTTTAGCCTCACACAATTTTTTTTCCTCCAAAATAAACAATTAAAAACACCATAAAACCCGTTAGAAACTCTGGATGAACCCTCAGACTTTATAGATCCACATCTAGATTAGAACTGAAGCACATCTGGACCGACCAGTTGAAGCTGGATGGAAGTTGTGCTATAGGCTAGAAATGTAATTTCTGCACAAAACTGCAAAATCTATTTTTTTTCCACTCATCAAAGGGAATTTGGTCAGAGAAATATGCTGATTTCCATTATTAGAGACTTCCTGCATGAGACGAAGACTTTGCTTCTACTTTTGTTTCATTGAAATTTACCAATAATATCAGCAAAATGAATAGAAAATAAAAATAACTCATGTAACGCTGCCGATTACATCACCTGAAATGGTCAAACGATGACCTCTGACCCCTCCTCTGAAAGGTCTGAGCCTCTAGTTTCCAATGATGCTGTAGAAATTTTAAAGCCCTATTTGAAAGGTGTGTGGATGAAACACCATGTGACTGTGTTTTAGCTATTTCTATAAATAGATCATCAGGTAAAAAAAAAAAAAGGAATTTCAACAAAGTATAAAGGAAACCTGTAAAATGCATCAACGCTCATTTTAAAAATTGAAAACTTAAATAATCTCTGAGTTCAAACAGCCGCCTCAACATCCAGGATGAATTGGGCGGCCCCTGCTTTTAATTACTTCCTGTAAAAGTCGCCGACTCATGCACTCATGCACACGCATGGTTTGGCTCTGCAGCCTCTTTTCTGGGGAATGCGACCCCCCCCCCACCCCCCACCCCCCACGGAGAATGTGGGAAGAAAATTCCTCTGGGAGAAGATAATCAACCAGCCCAGTGTTAGTTGTGTCTTCAGGGCAGCAGGTAACTTCACAGGCTGATGGTTTATGCAGGACCCGCATCGGGACTCAGCCAGCAGCTCAAATAAAGCTTTTTTCTAAACTCCCTGTTCCAGATCTTTCTCAGTTAGATCCATTAAGCCAGTATCAGTTAAAGCCATGTTGTTTTCACTCTGCTGACATGAGGGGCCTCCAACCTGACGATACGTCCCAATAGCCGAATACGGGTTGATCCCTAATGGGAGCCTGCTAATAAGTGTTATAGATCTATGTGAGGGATATTTCTGCCTTCAAATCAAATCAAATCTAAGGAATTTTGTTCCATAATTGTTGCATTTTGTAAATAGAACTAAGTGAGAAAAATGCAGTCCAGAAATACAACTGCATTCAAAGTGTGTAAGTCATAAAGTCAGATTTTCAGAGTGACCTTGCTTTTTTTCTTAGATTTGATTTCATTTTGTTTCCTTACTTTTGTTTTTTCCCAATTTCATTTTATGGATCCCATTCTTACACTTTAACCCATAAGCACATTTTGGAAGAGAGAAACACTCGCTCCTGACCAACAGAAATATTGTTGCTAATGCTACGTTCAGACGGCGCCAGAAGCAGCAAAAACGCGCATGCTGCTTCTTTTTCTTTGCCTGGAACAATGGCAGGATAATAAAAGCCAACATATTCTGCCGGCAGGTTTCTACATTTGAAGTTAATTTAGGCGTTAATAAACTGTTTCAGAGGAGTGATCATAGCGCTCTGCATCAGCAGTGCTGCGTCTGACTCCCTGCCAGCTCCCAGACCAGCTTCTCTCATTGGTTGATGCGGCGCGTCCAGCAGCTAGAGTTGCATGTTTCCAACATCTGCTGCTTCTGAAGCGCCTCAGATGCTCTAAACACTGCAGGACGTTTTGCTGCACCTTGATGCGCATCAACCATCGACTTTGCGTGGAAACTATGTTCTTCTGCTGCTTGTCGTGTAAATGTAGCATAACATCCATAAGGACCAAAAACTGCCCCTGACCCCAAAAGGTGAAAAGACTGTGTTTTGCAAAATGTAATTAGAAAAGAAAGCAATTTATAAAAGTTTAATCTGTAAAACAAAAATTCACTAATGTTAAAATAATAAAAAAACTTGTAAATGAAAAATTAAGATATGAAAAATAAACAAAATGAAAAAAATAATCACAGAAAATAGTAATGAAACCCTTCAGGGCTGCATCTAACGATTGGTTCGAATTAATACTAATTGATTCATTTGGCGATTTTCTTTTTTTCTTTTTTTTTTTTTTATTTAATGATAATAATAATCAGATAGGAAATGGTTCCTTATAGAAACTTTTTTACAGAGTCAAATCAGGTGAAACAAAAACTTTTTGACTTGTGGAGTTCTGGATAGAGCAGAGTGACAGAAGAAAAAATGTTTTGTTTTTTTATCTTAAATACAAAATATAAATTCACAATCTTGGTATAATTCCTGCTCTCAGTGTGTCGCTCCATTAGCTAAAGTCATGTTTTACTAAATTAGTTGATGATTATATCAATAATAGATTAATCTGATTAAATGTTTCAGCCCTAGAATCCATTAAGAAATAATGAAAATATGAAAAATAAACCAAAAATCTGAGAAAATATTAATGATGTTGTCAAATCCTTTTCTTGAATTTAAACTTTTTCAAAGTTTCATTCCTTTTTTTTTTCTTTCTTTTGAATTGAATTACTCAAAGGGATTGAAACGGAAACAGAGTTTTAACGAACATTTGTGCGTCTCTTTCTTTCACAGTGATCAGAGCTAAAGTGGTCGGCAAGAAGCTCCTGGGAGACAGACCGTTCGGAACAATGCGCTACACCGTCAAGCAAATGAAGGTAAGAAGGAACAAACCAAGTTCAGGTTGAAACATGAAGCTAAATAAAAACCTGTTAATTAGATTCACATCAGCTTCTGTTTGCTAAATAAACTGAAATGTTATCATTAAATATATTATTTAGAGATAAAACTCTAAACTAGAGCATCAGGGTCAATATTTAGTCCTTTCAGCCAAATCTCTGCTAAGAAGCAACAATTATTTTATCTAGAACAGGATTTGGTTTTTTCCACTGGACATGAATACTTGCATGATCTATTTTCTTAGACTTTGCACTTCCAGACTTTAAACTTTTGCGCATTCTGTGCATTAGGATCAAACTAGTATCATAATAGGAACAATGTTGCTTTAAAAAGGCAACAGCAATGATGTGAAGGAACAATGACACATTTATTTAGCATAAAACGGTAGATTACAGATTACAAGTTTGAAGCATTTTCACAGCAGAACTTCTGTATTTACAGCTTTATAGAATAAATCCAAGTCTTTATAAACTGTGGTATAAACATAGATGTAAATCCAAATGAAAGACATGGAAATAATAACCTACAGTGGATAGATTTCTTGGTTGGTAACCTGGATTGAAAAACACCCAAGGCTGACAAAATGAACACAAACACATCAACGTCCTATTATATTGGAGCTGAAACAGTTAATCTGATTAATCAATTATTCAAATAATTGTCAACTAATTTTTTTATTCGAGTATAGAGATTCTAAAACATACCTTTTATCTAACAGAGAAACCCACATAGAGCAACAATTATACCAAAAATTAGAAAATACTAAAACATTTTGCATTTAAGAAATATTTGTCCGTTAATCTGCTCTATCCAGAACTGCTAAATTGGAAAAGTTTTAGTTTCACCTGGTTTCATTTAGTAAAAAGTCAACTAATAAACCATTGATCGAAAAAAAAAAAAATAATCAAGAGATTAATCAATTTACTAAATAATCGTTAGCTGCAGCCCTAACTGTTACCCATAAGCTAGGCTAAGTGATTTGATGGATTTATTTTCTTTAGGTTAGCCTAGCTAATTAGCTTTAATAATCAAACAAAAGATTTCCTCATATTTTTAGAAGCAATGTGTTTTAATGGGGTGTAAATCATTTGTTCTTAGAATCCTGTTCAAAGGGAGTTTTTCCTCTCCACTGTCGCCACAAGCATGCTTAGTGTGAGGGATTGCTGAAGAGTCAATGAGTCGATGCAATCAGCTGGTTTTCCTTAGATAGAAAACTGAATCAATCTGACTGGATGATCTGGTTGATCTGGATCTATAAAGTGCTTTGAGATGAAGTGATGTGAATCTATAGAAATAGAATTGAATAATATGATGGATCTTTGACTGAAAATAGAAATCTTAGCGTTTGTGACTAACCTGTTTGTAAAACAGATTTTATTTGATGAAAATGTTTTTTGTTTTTGTAGCTGTCCAGGTTTGCTACCTGCTAGCACTTATCTAGAGACTATAATGTTAACGAGATGATAAGATAATTTCACTTCAAATAAAAGTCTAGAATAAGAGTGTTTATGAATGAGTGTTTTGGGGGTAAAAGGCTGAATGTTTGCCAATAAAATGGGTTATGGGCAAACTTTTAAAAACAAAAAAAGGCTTTGATGGTAAAATTTATGTTTTCTTGGTTTTTATTTTATCAAAGATGTTTTTTTATTCTATTTTGCAAATTATTTTTACACATTTAATATTTTCAGATTTTATAATATTTTATCTTTAATTTATTGTTCTAGATTTTTATTTTGTTTTTTAGTTATTACTTTATGACATTCGCTTTACTCCTGGGCGCCAAAGAATATTTGATCTGCAAAATGCAATTCAAAAGAAAGATTTTAGCAAAAAAAAAATTTTTTTAAATGATCAAATACAAACTAAATCTAAAATATGTTTAAAAGAACGTAGAAGAAACTAAAGAACAATTTGGAATTATAAAATATGGGAATTTTTTAAAGAATTAAATTAGAAAAAAAAAATCAAATATGAAAACAAAATATAAAAAAAATAAAATCTGAGAAAACAAAGTTACTCTCACAACCTTTTTTTTTTCATTTCTGTATTGCATTTTCTATAAATTTCCTATTATAAATCGTGTCTTTGTTTGCAAAAACAAGGAACAAAAGTCACTCCATAGAATATCTACAAAGAAACCAGACAATGCATCTGATAAACTGTCATCAGTCTCATTCCTAGCAGCTAAATAAACTGCAAAAACCATCTAGAAAGTAAATAACTCTTAAATTAAGTGTATTTAGCCTTAATTTTAGGTAAATCAGAGGATTTGCCAATGGAATGAGTAGTTTTACTGTTTAAATAAAGAAATTACATAATATTCCCTTGAAATAAGACAATAAAATGACTTTTTCTTATTTTAAATGTAGATCGTCTTGTTCCATTGGCAAAGTGTCTCACTTACCTCCTCAATTCAAGGAAAAACTCACTTATTTTAAGGAAAAATGACTCATTTAGATTTCATTCAGATTTTGCAGTGTAAAAACTGCTCCTGAAAGGCGGTCCCTCCTTTTCCCTGGATTCTTGCGTAACGCTCCATATTTCAGATGCTGATAGCGGCCCGTTGCTGCGGCAGCATCCAGGCCGGAGCATTAGCAGGAATTACAGCTCAGCTAAACATTTAGTTAGAGTCACGCACCCTAAATGCACAATCCCGTTTGGCATCAAAAAGCAAGATGCTGGTTGTTGGGTGTTAGAGTTGTTTCTGCTTCTAGAAAGCGACTTTTCCCAGCGGACAAATCCCTCCCGCTTCCATAAAGCTCCACAGCCTCTGGCTGAGGTAATAGTTTGTTCCGTTTTACTGGGAGCGCCGCGTCTAAACAGGGATTTCCTGTTGTTCTCAGAAAAATGCATTACACTAGAAAGAAAAGAGGAAAACAATCCTCTACAAACCCAGAGCTTAGGCTCGGTACCAACCCAAAGGAACTTTAAACATAACAACCAAGTTAATGAGGATTAGAAGCTTTTTATTTCCACAAAAAGAAAAAAAAAAAAAAAAACATCTGATAAAGAAAGTGTTATTTCCTTTTCCTGTTGTTCATGTCGGGACTTTTTTAGTGCCACTGATTTTCCTTCCAGTTCCTGATTCTGATTCTATCTTCGGCTCATTTTTTCCTCCAGATGTACAAAGGATTCAATAAAGTTCAGCACGTGCAGCACATTTACACCTACGCCGCCGAGAGTCTGTGTGGCGTCAAGTTCGAGATCAACAAGTACCAGTACCTGATCACAGGTGAGACGTTTGGACAAGTCCTACTCTGACTCTGACCTGTTTTGTGCTTGATGCTGTATGTCACAGGTCCCCTATGAAAGTCTCTGTAGCTCAGTCAGACTGGATGAAGTTTCTTACCAAAGATGCGCAACTGGATTAAGGCCTGGACTTTGATTAGGCCATTCAGACTTATTGGTGCTAAATGACCCAACAGAGACACAGCCGTTGGTACGAAATGCAAAATGGATTTACAAATTAAGAAAAATCAGTTCAAAGATGAAGTGAGGGGCCAACTTATCGCTGGGTACAAAGTGCAGCGGTGATAGATGGTGTGTAGAATGTGTAAAGAGTTTATATTGACTATATCTCCATAGACACCAACTAGGATGATACATGTTTAATACGGTCCTTTTGAGACCGTTTTGGACAGAGGTCAAAGAACCGGTCTGTTAGCAAATAATCTAGCTTTAGTTGTTCCTGCATTCAGTACCAAACCATTTCCTGAAACTGGAGACTGAATGGTGCCAAAGGAAGCAAGCAGATCTGTGAATTTAGGAAAGTAAATGACAGAATCGTCTGCATAGAGATGCTCAGCTGTATCTCGGAGACCCTGTCCCAGGGTGCTCATGGAAAGAGAGGAAAGGAGGGGCCCTAAAATGGAGCCTTGAGGGACTTCTTTTATAATACCCAAACAGCGTAATGTTAGAACAAATTGTTCACACTGTTGGAGCCGAGTCCAATAAATAGAAAAGCTAGCTTTGATCTGATCTGGGAATGGAGCGTCTCAAAGCGACTGGTACAGAATTCTACAGTAGTAGCCATTCAAAGTTTCCCCACTTTCCTTGGCTGGTCCCTACTATTCTTTTTTAAACATCAATCTTTGTACTAAAATATTCTGTCATGATTTGTGGACATTAGGATCTAAAGAGAAGCGCCATCTGCTGGTCAGACCCTGTCATTTAGTGAAGTGGTCACTCCAGCGGCTGGAAGTTGGAGGGGATTTAGCCGGGAGTTGCAGCCATTTGGCTGGACCTTGAGTGGGAACGGCCATTTTGACTGGCTGCTACTGTATGTTTGACGAGTTAAAAGTTTTAAATGGATATAAAAATAGTGCCGGACAGTAATCTCATGCATCAAGTGCTTCAAATACATCATAAAGGCAGAAACGGTTCTATAATTATTTTCCTAAACCCATATTGGTTCGGTGATAGATTGTGGGAACAAGGAGAGGCTTCATTTTTGCAAGAATGCACAGTTACTGTGTTGGTTTTCTTTCATAAATAGGTTTTAAATACCAATTTGCCCTTTTCTTTGAGTTGGTTTAGGGTTTAGTTGGAAGTTCATTGGTACCTTTCTATGTTCCACTGATGGATTCAAGCTACTGATTGCTTTAGACTCCTGCTCTGACCCATCTGCTATGGTCCTTGGTTTTTATGACGCTGTTGTCCTTCACAGTCCTGAAGGCCGTTTACTGAGACCGATAACCAACCAGTGGACTCTATTTCTGATTACTGGTAAACTGGATTTTAGTAGTTGGTATTGTTCTACTTTCTGCCTACAGTATGCCCTACTTTGTGTTTCTCTGTCACATAAAAAGAATTTGAATGTAATCAAATAAGCGTAACAGACTTTTGCCCTTTACTTAGATAAGCTTCATTTGGTCCAATGAGACGTGGAGAACATTCTAGCCCCCCCCAGCATCTCCTCCCTGAGGACTTCATTTTTCTTCAGACAAAAAGTCTTCCTCTATTATTAGCGGAGCCTTTGCTACTGTAGAGAGAGGCGCTTCCCTTTGCGTCTCAGCAGTTTTCTCTCCCTCACAGCTTGTAATTAACAGCCAGCAGGAAGCGACTGGCATTTTCCAGCACAAGCACTTAGTTGCTATTTCCATCAGGGGATGCTGTTTACTTTGGACCCTGCAGCACTTGGCTTATATAGGTGTCAGCGAGTCCCCGACCTGTAAAAACTGCAACTCCACGGCACAGTGGGAGCAGACGGGCCGGCGTTGCCAGGCAACAACGGCTATGTTTATCCCATCTGGGCACGAGTGACATCACTCTGCCACTCTCTCTCTCTTTGCTCTTAAGTCGTCTATAATAAGTCGTGCCTACATGACCATGGGTGCGTTAGGAGGAGGATGAACCTCTGATGGAATCTCCTTTGATCGAGCTAAAGGGGCCTCTGGTTTAGCGTGGGTTTAGCTCTCCTGCATGGGTTTGGCCCGGCCTGGAGCTTCACTGGGGGGGAACATCTAAATGGAACATACTTGTGACCTGTTAAAGCCCCACTGACAGCGCTGTGAAGGAAACAAATGGTGATGATACTGTTGATCCTAAGCGCTAACAGGCCGCGGCGACGCTGGACGGCCTGGTTTGCTAAATATAGACGTCTAATGACCTTTAGATATTCCAAAACAAAGGTACTGATTTAATATGGGTTCATTAGATGCCATCATTTAGGTAAACAAGTTTAAAGTTCAGGATTGGAAATTAAAGTGTAGAGATATAAATATTAGCTTAATTAGATTAGATTTTTCAGGTCAATATGAAGCACTCGGTGCGTATCGATAGATGGTGAGGGTCTCAAAAACAGAGTGTCGCTTTATGGCAGTCTGAGCTTCACTTTAACACCAGAGCTAACTAAGCTAAAAGTTGCTGTTAGCCAAAACAGATAAGACTTTGCTAGCGAGACAGGCTGTTTCTCAATCTGTGTACTTGTGCTAGCGTTGGCCCGTCTGCAGCAGCCAGGGCTAGCGTTGGCCCGTCTGCAGCAGCCAGGGCTAGCGTTGGCCCGTCTGCAGCAGCCAGGGCTAGCGTTGGCCCGTCTGCAGCAGCCAGGGCTAGCGTTGGCCCGTCTGCAGCAGCCAGGGCTAGCGTTGGCCCGTCTGCAGCAGCCAGGGCTAGCGTTGGCCCGTCTGCAGCAGCCAGGGCTAGCGTTGGCCCGTCTGCAGCAGCCAGGGCTAACGTTAGCCAGTGAAAGCATTGCCTTTTTTACTGTCTACGGCTGATCAAATCTTACCCTGATTACGCGTTTTTGTTTGTGATTGCTAGGAATGGAAATTCTATTTCTCCTTTATGTTCTAATAGGCTCTAAAAAGTATTCACTATAACTGAGTCGGTCTTTGGCTGTGCCGTGCTGTACCTTTTGCTTTAGTTTTGCCAGTAGTTTTAGCCGTAGTTCTAAGTTATTGAAGGACGGTAGAACTCTAGTAGTCCCCATCTAGCTTTCTGATAGTTCTGGGGTACTACCAGCAGAGGGCGCCATGTTTGTTTAGGTCATCGCCCCCAAAGCTGGAATTCCATTTAGGCTGAAAAAAGGACATTGTAAACATGATCATTACAGAAAATTAGTCTGTAAAACATTATTTCATCAGCATCAAATGGTTTTTGGTCTTTTTTTAAGGCATATAACATAATTATGTACCTTTTAAGAAATATAAGTCAGGGAAGTTTTTGAGAACCTGCTTTAGCATCTTGGTTTCTGCTTTTAGGCTGAACTTGCTTTGAATAACCTCCACTCTGCTTGCTGTAAACATGGACGACTTCAAATACCTCACAGATCCCTTTAAATCCATCAAAAGACCGAGAAGCTGCTGAAATCCTTTTACAAATAACACTTTGAAAGGATGGGGTTTGAACAAAGGAAGAAACCCATAACAGGTCCTGTTAATAGTAATATAAGTCATGCAGGGTAGATGGCAAACATAAAGAAAGTGGCTCTCTGCTGAAAATGGATCAAAATGAACTTTCTGGTCTAAATCTACATCAGAACCATCAGTTCATCTCAGAAATCACTAGAAGAGTAAATTAACCTGCTGTTTTTAATATTACCTAAAGCATAAACACCATTAAACTAAAACCAATCAAACTCATTTCCCATCTTTTCCCCGTTCTGCTCCTACAGGTCGCGTTTATGACAACAAGGTTTACACGGGGCTCTGCAACTTTAATGAGAAGTGGGAACGCCTTTCGCTGGCGCAGAAGAAAGGTTTCAACCATCGCTACCAGCTGGGATGCAACTGCAGAGTGAGTCTAAACACCATGAAGCCGACAGGAAGAGGATGCAGACTCTGAAACTATTAATCTGCTCTTTGACTCTTTTAATGACAATAGAGGCAAATTAATATATTAATGGAGCCACTTTTAAAGTTCCCCTCTATTAAGTTATAAATATATTTTTCTGAACAGTTTAGTACCCTGTTGTAGATCTTAAGGATGTTGAATGATTGCAGAAGTGAACAAGTTTTACTACCATCTCTGGGAATTAGGTAACAGCTCTGGAAACGGTTCAACTCCTCTTTTCCAGTTTGTTGCAGCTGAAGCATTCGGCTTCCTGCTGCGCAGCTGCTGAGCTTCGTCACAAACTTCCTACTGCAAAGCGCCGCCACAGACATCTGCTCGCACACTCAGACACCATCAGCATAACGGGATTAGCAGAGGGACCCATTGGTTCACTATGCTGGTCACTAGGGAGTTCATTTGTTCCAATTATTATTGCAATCTATATATTAAACTCTGACGACTAATGAAACTGTGAAAAAAGTTCTTACTTTAATCTAAAAAGGTCTTGAGACACTTTGCTGCTTTTTTTTGTTTTTTCAATTTAAATTTTTTTATTTTTTCATTTTTGCAGCTTTTAGATTTTCATAATTTTTTTTCAAATTTCTGATTTTCAGATAGTTTTATAAATTGAATTTTTTCAAATTGTGTTTACAGATAAAATTCTTTTCACTTTAAGTATAATAAAAAATGTTACCTTTAATTTTTTTGTTTTTTCAAATTAAATCTTTTATTTGACCTTTCTGCAGATTTTAGATTTTCATAATTTTTTTTTGCAAATTTCTGATTTTCATTTAGTTTTATAAATTGAATTCTTTCAAATTGTGTTTACAGATAAAATTCTTTTCACTTTAAGTATAATAAAAAATTTTACCTTTAATTTTTTTGTTTTTTCAAATTAAATCTTTTATTTGACCTTTCTGCAGATTTTAGATTTTCATAATTTTTCGAATTTCTGATTTTTAGATAGTTTTATAAATTGAATTTACAGACAAAAAATTTTTCACTTTAAGTATAATACAAAATGTTACCTTAATTTTTTTTTTCTTCAAATTAAATTTTTCATTTGACCTTTCTGCAGATTTTAGATTTTTATAATTTTTCAAATTTCTGAGTTTTAGATAGTTATATAAATTAAATTCTTTCACTTTAAGTCTAATTCAGAATCTCACCTTTGACCAATAAACCGTTGCTAACGTCCATGCAGATCAATAGAAGAGAATGCAATTGGTAAAAAAAAAAGTATCTAAACATACATTAAAAACATAAACATGAAAATTTTATAACAAATAGAAATATGAAAATATCAAAGTAATAAAAAAAATCTAATATGTAAAAAAAAAAATAATTGGAAAAAACAAATGTAGTTTTTTAGATAAAGTCTATTATTTCATATTTAGATTGAATTTATCTTTCAAATTTCCATTTATAAAAGATGGAATAAATTAACTTCATAATCATTGACTGTAATCGGAGCTCAGGCCGTAGTTGACTGAACATCTTCCCATCCTGAAGGTTGGAAATTAAAGATCCGACAGCTTAGTTATAAAAATCAGGCAAAATAAGAAGCCGGGTCTAAGATGTGATTTTCCGTTGCATTCATATCCAGGATAAGTGCAGCTCTTTGCAGCCGGTGATTCACTTTTCCTTCCACTGAATCCAGCCTTTTCCCCCTTCATCACCTCTCAGAGCGCTGAAGTTAATCTTCCTGTCAGTTGCTTTCCATTCATCCATGAAGCGAGCACCTGGTGTAAAGCTGCGGCGCCGCGGCGCCCGACTAAATCCTTAAACCACCTAAAAGCCGAGATGCTTCCGTTTGCATTCCTCAGCTGAAAACAGGCCATCATCAGGGGGAACTTTGCATCTTTGCTCTCTGAAAAGTTTCCCTTTGTTCAAACATCTGATCATTGATGCTTCCAGGAAGCCAGAATATTCCAGCAGCTCTCTGCTGCCTGCCTGCTGATCTGTTCTTTCTCCATTTTATTACATTTAAACCTTAAAATCCACTTTTTCATGTATTTTCTTTGGTGAATTTTTACAGGAACTTTTATTAAATGTGTTTAATGTTCTTCAATTTTAAGAATTTTAAGCATTATTATTGAAAATAAAAGCGGCGCATCTGGACTTTAGTGGGAACTTTAGATATTTATCTTTTATAGTTCCAGGTACTTTACACCTTCTTGGTAAAATAGTCTGTTTTTGGTTAATTTCTGTTATTTATAGATAAATAATGAACAAGTTTAGCTGGATAAATTTAAATTCAGTCCTGAAACTTTCCTTTCCTAATTACGTATATTTTTTAAAAAGTTAATTATTAGACCATTTAATAATTGTTTTTAGTGTGTCTATATTTACTAGTCATTAGCTGAAAATTTCTCTTATTAGCTAAAGTTAAGACTTACATGCATTAAAAAAACAATGCATTGAACTTTTTAACCTTTCTAATGTAATTTGACCTTTATTCCACCAAGCTAGCTAATGTGGCTCCATTTATCAGTGCAGAGCTAGAAATGTTTTATCTCTCTTACTTTCCCGCCATTTTCAGTGGCTATACTACATTTCGTAGCATTCCTAAAAAGCACGCAATGTTTGGTGACATCCTTAAAAAATTAAGCAATTCCTGAGTTATTTTTAAATGACTAAATAAAATGATCTCATAATGACCTCATCTCTCCTTCTCCGTAGATCAAGCCCTGCCAATACCTGCCATGCTTCGTGACCTCAAAGAACGAGTGCCTGTGGACGGACATGCTGTCCCACTTTGGCTATCCCGGCTACCAGTCCCGGCAGTACGCCTGCATCCAGCAGAAGGAGGGCTACTGCAGTTGGTACCAGGGCATGGCCACCCGCGATAAAACCATCCTCAACGCTACTGATCCCTGATTCCAAACCCGTCGCTTCAGAAACCAACTCTCTGTAACCCCATTTCTGTCCCGCTCTTGGATTACCTTAACTGGACTCGTGACGGCCTTCTTTAAAAGGCAGAAAAGAGCAGATATATTACAGTGCCTGTCTGTAGCACTTCTGATGCCCTTCAAGCTTCTATTGTTTTCCCACTCAATCAGCAACCGTCCTAGAGGTACACCAGATGTTTAGCATCAGTCTATGCAGGACATTACCAGTCTGTGACGGGATCTTTAGAAATTGAACTGCCACCGACTCAAAGCAGCTAATCTACTGATTATTTGATCGATTTTAAAAATAAGATAGAAACTAAATAAATCACATTATTATTTTATTAAAGTGATGTAAAAACTATTATCACTTCTGCACAGAACTTACTATCAATACTGCTAAAGCCGGGCGTACACTGTACCAGTTTCTGCCCCTTTCGGGTCAATTTTCCAGTCATGTAAAAATTCTTTGCATCAGGTCAAGTTTCAGCCTCATGGTGCGTCCTGCTTCGTTTAGTTGACGGGGCGTAACGAGGGGTGATCGGCAGTCGGCCATATGACGATGACAATGACTCGGCTCGTCATCGGCTCGTCATTGGCTGGTCCTGGACTGGCCCTTGGCTTGTCATTGGCTGGTCCTGGACTGGCCCTTGGCTCGTCATTGGCTGGTCCTGGACTGGGCCTTGGCTCGTCATTGGCTGGTCCTGGACTGGGCCTTGGCTCGTCATTGGCTGGTCCTGGACTGGCCCTTGGCTTGTCATTGGCTCGTCATTGGCTGGTCCTGGACTGGCCTTTGGCTCGTCATTGGCTGGTCCTGGACTGGGCCTTGGCTCGTCATTGGCTGGTCCTGGACTGGCCCTTGGCTCGTCATTGGCTGGTCCTGGACTGGGCTTTGGCTCGTGTTTTGCTTGTCATTGGCTGGTCCTGGACTGGGCCTTGGCTCGTCATTGGCTGGTCCTGGACTGGGCCTTGGCTCGTCATTGGCTGGTCCTGGACTGGGCCTTGGCTCGTCATTGGCTGGTCATGGACTGGGCCTTGGCTCGTCATTGGCTGGTCATGGACTGGGCCTTGGCCCGTCATTGGCTGGTCCTGGACTGGGCCTTGGCTCGTCATTGGCTCGTCATTGGCTGGTCCTGGACTGGCCCTTGGCTCGTCATTGGCTGGTCCTGGACTGGCCCTTGGCTCGTCATTGGCTGGTCCTGGACTGGGCCTTGGCTCGTGTTTGGCTTGTCATTGGCTGTTCCTGGACTGGGCCTTGGCTCGTCATTGGCTGGTCCTGGACTGGGCCTTGGCTCGTCATTGGCTGGTCATGGACTGGGCCTTGGCTCGTCATTGGCTGGTCATGGACTGGGCCTTGGCTCGTCATTGGCTGGTCCTGGACTGGGCCTTGACTTGTCATTGGCTCGTCATTGGCTGGTCCTGGACTGGCCCTTGGCTCGTCATTGGCTGGTCCTGGACTGGCCCTTGGCTCGTCATTGGCTGGTCCTGGACTGGCCCTTGGCTCGTCATTGGCTGGTCCTGGACTGGGCCTTGGCTCGTGTTTGGCTCGTCATTGGCTGTTCCTGGACTGGGCCTTGGCTTGTCATTGGCTGGTCCTGGATTGGGCCTTGGCTTGTCATTGGCTCGTCATTGGCTGGTCCTGGACTGGGCTTTGGCTCGTGTTTGGCTTGTCATTGGCTGGTCCTGGACTGGGCCTCGGCTCGTCATTGGCTGGTCCTGGACTGGGCCTTGGCTCGTCATTGGCTGGTCCTGGACTGGCCCTTGGCTCGTCATTGGCTGGTCCTGGACTGGCCCTTGGCTCGTGTTTGGCTCGTCATTGGCTGGTCCTGGACAGGGCCTTGGCTCGTCATTGGCTGGTCCTGGACTGGCCCTTGGCTCGTCATTGGCTGGTCCTGGACTGGCCCTTGGCTCGTGTTTGGCTCGTCATTGGCTGGTCCTGGACAGGGCCTTGGCTCGTCATTGGCTGGTCCTGGACTGGCCCTTGGCTCGTCATTGGCTGGTCCTGGACTGGCCCTTGGCTCGTGTTTGGCTCGTCATTGGCTGGTCCTGGACTGGGCCTTGGCTCGTCATTGGCTGGTCCTGGACTGGCCCTTGGCTCGTCATTGGCTGGTCCTGGACTGGCCCTTGGCTCGTGTTTGGCTCGTCATTGGCTGGTCCTGGACAGGGCCTTGGCTCGTCATTGGCTGGTCCTGGACTGGCCCTTGGCTCGTCATTGGCTGGTCCTGGACTGGGCCTTGGCTCGTGTTTGGCTTGTCATTGGCTGTTCCTGGACTGGGCCTTGGCTTGTCATTGGCTGGTCCTGGATTGGGCCTTGGCTTGTCATTGGCTGGTCCTGGACTGGCCCTTGGCTGGTCCCCTACAGTTCCTTTTTAGACATCAATCTTTGTACTAAAATATTTTTTCAGTCATGATTTCTCAACATTAAAATCTAAAGACAAGTGCCATCTCCTGGTCAGACCCTGTAATTCAGTGAAAGGGTGGAGTCAGAGTAAATAAATATGCAAGAGGGGGTAACTGCAGTGGCTGGAAGTTGGAGGGGATATTGCTGGGAGATGCAGGGAAGTGAGCCACCATTCGGCTGGCATTTGACTGGGAAGGACCATTTTTAATGGCTGCTACTGTAGACGAGTAGAATGATTGAAAATATCGTACAGTGTATGCCCGGCACAAAAGCAGGATTTTGTGCCAATATTCTAGTTATGTGACCATTACCTCTATATTTGAATTGGGAAATGAAATAAAAATGTATTTTCAGATCAACTATGCTGAACAGTTACTGTAACTCTTTAAGATGGTCGTACCTCTGCTTCCCTGAGTGGCGGCATCACATCACCCACCAAACATCCTCCTTTGCTGTGCATAGATTTTATTTTCAGAAATGTTAACTTTAATGCAGTGCCAACACAGGGAAGAGCTCTCTTTTATTTTTGAGTTGTGATATTTTTATTTTATGCTGTATATAAAAATAAGCTAAAGAAATGCTGAAATCTCTATATTGCATTTATTTATGTTTATTGGATTACACCGTAACCCTGTCATTATACGTCCAAAAACAGAAAGACGACAAGTACCATATAGTCTCACCTTTCATTGCGACCAGCGGAGCGACACGTTAAATGAGTCTGTGAAGCGCTAGCTTATAAACGGTTCGGGACTCCTTTGTGTTCGATAGCTTTTGCTGGTACTTTTCAACAACCTGATTATAATGCAGTTTTAAAAGGTTACACAGTATGAGATTTTTTTTAAGTGTATATTCAATCTTTTTTATTTAATATATATGTGAGACATGATTTTTTTTATCACTAAGATCATTCTTCTTCACCTGCTTTCAATCAATCTGGATTTTTGTTTTTCCGTTGTTTGTTTCCCTTCAGTCCATTCCATTAACAGACACAGATTTGCCTCATATGGATAAGAAAGAAAAACTTTTTGATTAAAAAGTGTCAAAAAGTTGAAAATTTCAGAGAAAATGGGTTTAGAAAGCTGCGGTCCGTTCTGATATCTGCGGTCGTGTAGCTAGCTAGCTTAGCTTAGCTTACACATATTAGCGAAAAACCAGCAATGTAAGAGCAGGGAAACAAAGCGGTTTGCTTCATAAGTTTTATTACTTGGTTGTTGGTTTTTTTAATAGCTGTATTTCTTTATGTAATAATTATGAAGCAGACTGTTTAAATAAAAGAAAATTGAAAAGAAACACAAACAGCTAAGCTATACGACAGAAGTAACGGGCGTCAACTTTCATAAACGCATTCCTCTGAAATGTAAAACTTTGTTAGTTTTACGTCTGAAAATACAAAGAAAATTCAAGAAAAACTTAAGCTTCAGGTTTGTCTCATTATCAGATTTTTAGCTTATTTTCCACTAAGCTAACAAAAAATATTTAGCTTGCAGCATGTAAGCTTTAATTCAAGCAACTTTTTAAAACTAAAACTATTGAAAAATTATTATTTTATTTTGAAATGCTGCATATTGTTTGTGAATGTCCATTAAGTTTTTGCTCCATTTGTGGCATTTCTGTTTCATTATTTCTGTGGTTTCTGTTTGTGTAAATATAATGTCTGCTTAACACAGAAACAATTGGTCAAGTTTGAAATATAAAAAAAAAACTTAAATGAAGAAAGTTGTGTACAGTCTGTGTTTAAGCACTGATTCCTGTGGGGTGGGTGGGGTGTTATCTGTAAGGTTAGAGAAATGTTTGACTTAATTTCTGTTTTATATTTTTATAATAAAGACTCAAAGAAAATGGACCAAACAAGGCTTTTTGTGATTTCATTTGTGTATTTCCATCTTTTTTTGTGGTTTTAGATTGTAAATAATGTCAGAAATCACTCACCATTTGCGTGTGGTTTGGGTAGAAGGTTTGCTCATTCAGAGGGAATTTCTCTGGGCCGAGGGAATGGTAGAGTTTGATCATATGAGAAAACTGCAGAGAGAAATAAACACGTCAACCTTCAATGAATTGAGGAAAAACACGGATTAAATAGAAACTACAGCTGTGGGAAATAGCTTTAGGATCATTAGTAAGTAATGTTTATTTCTATAGCACCTTTCACAGACAGAGGTCACAAAGTGCTTCACAAAATTATAAAACTAATAAAATACATTTACAGTCAAAAACAACATGGTCATAAAAAACCCTAATCTACTAGAATTAAAATGCTTCCTTAAACAAATAGGTCCTCTGGTCATCAACAGAATCAAGTCATCGCAAGAAAAGAGGAAGATCGTTCCAGAATGCCGTCGCGACCGCCTGAACGGAGCAATCTCCCCATGTCCTGTAACGAGGACGAGGGACCGTGAGCGAGTTCAGGTCCTGTAATGAGGACGAGGGACCACGAGCGGGTTCAGGTCCTGTAACGAGGACGAGGGACCGTGAGCGAGTTCAGGTCCTGTAATGAGGACGAGGGACCATGAGCGGGTTCAGGTCCTGTAATGAGGACGAGGGACCACGAGCGGGTTCAGGTCCTGTAACGAGGACGAGGGACCGTGAGCGAGTTCGGGTCCTGTAATGAGGACGAGGGACCGTGAGCGGGTTCAGGTCCTGTAATGAGGACGAGGGACCACGAGCGGGTTCAGGTCCTGTAACGAGGACGAGGGACCGTGAGCGAGTTCAGGTCCTGTAACGAGGACGAGGGACCGTGAGCGGGTTCAGGTCCTGTAGTGAGGACGAGGGACCGTGAGCGAGTTCAGGTCCTGTAACGAGGACGAGGGACCACGAGCGGGTTCAGGTCCTGTAATGAGGACGAGGGACCACGAGCGGGTTCAGGTCCTGTAACGAGGACGAGGGACCGTGAGCGGGTTCAGGTCCTGTAACGAGGACGAGGGACCGTGAGCGAGTTCAGGTCCTGTAACGAGGACGAGGGACCGTGAGCGGGTTCAGGTCCTGTAGTGAGGACGAGGGACCACGAGCGGGTTCAGGTCCTGTAACGAGGACGAGGGACCACGAGCGGGTTCAGGTCCTGTAGTGAGGACGAGGGACCACGAGCGGGTTCAGGTCCTGTAACGAGGACGAGGGACCGTGAGCGAGTTCAGGTCCTGTAATGAGGACGAGGGACCGTGAGCGGGTTCAGGTCCTGTAATGAGGACGAGGGACCACGAGCGGGTTCAGGTCCTGTAACGAGGACGAGGGACCGTGAGCGAGTTCAGGTCCTGTAATGAGGACGAGGGACCACGAGCGGGTTCAGGTCCTGTAACGAGGACGAGGGACCGTGAGCGAGTTCAGGTCCTGTAACGAGGACGAGGGACCGTGAGCGAGTTCAGGTCCTGTAACGAGGACGAGGGACCGTGAGCGAGTTCAGGTCCTGTAACGAGGACGAGGGACCGTGAGCGGGTTCAGGTCCTGTAGTGAGGACGAGGGACCACGAGCGGGTTAAAGTCCTGTTATGAGGACGAGGGACCGTGAGCGGGTTCGGGTCCTGTAATGAGTACGGTCCTGTAACGAGGACGAGGGACCGCGGGCGGGTTCAGGTCCTGTAACGAGGACGAGGGACCGCGAGCGGGTTCAGGTCCTGTAACGAGGACGAGGGACCGCGAGCGGGTTCAGGTCCTGTAACGAGGACGAGGGACCGCGAGCGGGTTCGGGTCCTGTAACGAGGACGAGGGACCGCGGGCGGGTTCAGGTCCTGTAACGAGGACGAGGGACCGCGGGCGGGTTCAGGTCCTGTAATGAGTACGAGGGACCGCGAGCGGGTTCAGGTCCTGTAACGAGTACGAGGGACCGCGGGCGGGTTCAGGTCCTGTAATGAGTACGAGGGACCGCGAGCGGGTTCAGGTCCTGTAACGAGTACGAGGGACCGCGGGCGGGTTCAGGTCCTGTAACGAGGACGAGGGACCGCGAGCGGGTTCAGGTCCTGTAACGAGGACGAGGGACCGCGAGCGGGTTCAGGTCCTGTAACGAGTACGAGGGACCGCCAGCAGGTTCAGGTCCTGTAACGAGTACGAGGGACCGCGGGCGGGTTCAGGTCCTGTAACGAGTACGAGGGACCGCCAGCAGGTTCAGGTCCTGTAACGAGTACGAGGGACCGCGAGCGGGTTCAGGTCCTGTAACGAGTACGAGGGACCGCCAGCAGGTTCAGGTCCTGTAACGAGTACGAGGGACCCCTAGCGGGTTCAGGTCCTGTAACGAAATGTCTTCAAACCAGGAAACAGTCTAGTGGATTGTTTTTAATTTTCTTTTGTCACATTTTAAGAGGCTGTTTCAGTTTTAGGAATACTAAACCTTGATTTGACCACTGGGACGTCTTACATGCCTGATGAAATACATAACAGGGCAATAAAATGGGACACAGAGGTACCTCTACAGGCCACATTAAAAGTGTCCAGCCATTGTTGTGCATGTTCTAAACCTAAATTGCAACTGGCAAGACTGTATTTATGAGGTCATGCAAAGCTAAGCCTTTACTTATTTCACACTAAACACTTCTGGCTTTTTTATTTCCTACTAACCAACTAATAAGTACAGTGACAAAAACCACCTGTTTCAGACGCAGGTGTTGCAGTAAAAGCTCATATAAATCAGGCACAGGAATCTGCTGCTGAGAGAATAATCTCAGCAGCCTGTGGAGGTTAAAGCAAAGCGAAAAAGAGCTCTTTGAGATGACTTACCACCCAAGGCTTGCTGCAGAAATTGTATATGGAGAAGAGAGAGTTGACACCTGGGACGCCACCAAAGTGCAGGCCGATCACAAGGTTTCTGAAGTCTTCGCCAGGAATCATGCTGTAGGCGTGTTGGCGAATCAAGACAAAGTCTGGCTTAAAGGACCTGTAGAAAGACACGAGAGGAATCGGAACAGTGACGAGGGTGTTAAGAGTCACCATTTTTAGAACTACTTAAAGTAAAAAAGTTAAAGTAATGCAGAAAAAACTGTTAAGGACAGAATCTTTACTGCTCTACCCTATTAAAGGAACATTGTTCTATAATTTTGAATTATACTTCATTTTTTAGTTTTATATCTTGATGATTTGCATCATCTTGAAAAACTATTTATCTTGGTATGTGAAAGTAGAAAGTAGAGACAATTGCAAAAAAATGTAAAGAGTAGAAGTAGAAAGTTGTCTAAAAATCTCCATTTAAGTATAGATAGAAAAATATCCACTTAAGAGAACAAAGTATTTGTACTTTGTTACTGGACACCTCTGATCAGCATCCAGTTTAAACGATAGCTTAACTAAACATCGCTGTGGGGTTGGAAAGTGGCTACCAAGGAGCAATCTCTATGAAACGCTTTCTCAAAGGATTTGTACTTATTTTATTTAATTAAGGTTCTATATATTTGCCATAATTAAGGACATGGAATTGTTTAAATAAGAACTGATCAACAAAAATCAAAAATTACAATGAAGAAGATCAGAACACTTCACTCTCAATCTGCAGGTTTACTAGTGGTTCCTAGAATTTCTAAAAGTAGAATGAGAGGCAGATCTTTTAGTTATCAGGCTCCTCTCCTGTGGAACCAACTACCAGTTTTAGTCCGTGAGGCAGACACCCTGTCTACTTTTAAGGCTAGGCTTAAAACTTTCCTTTTTGATAAAGCTTCTAGTTAGAGTGGCTCAGGTTATCCTGAGCTATCTCTATAGTTCTGCTGCTATAGGCTTAGACTGCTGGAGTACATAGGGATCCCTTTTTCATCATTCTGCTTCATTCTATCTCTATTCTCCCACTCTGCAGAATCTGTTAGTTCAATCTCTAACGTTCTGCTCTCTCTGATTTTTCTCTGGTCTGTTCCTGTTTGGATGTGACTCCATCCTGGAGAGAAATATCAGCTGTCTGCTGAGGCCGACTGGAGTTCAAGGAGACAGAAGCAGACATAGAAAAAGAAGCATAGATACAAAAGGCAACTGTCAACCAGCTCCACAGGCGGGCCCGTCCAGGAAACACACAGCCAGGCAGACGAGCTCCGAGCCAGCTCCCATGTCACAGTCAGAGAAACAGGACTACACTGGAAAACAGGCTGATCTCCAACATCTAGAAACAAAGGTGTTGATGGCAGCAGCATAGTTTAAGAAGAGTAGCTAAATGTAACTCTCCAGCCCTTTAGCTGGTGTTAATATGTTTCAAGTGGATTCACAACCACAGATATGGGGAGAAAGATGTACAGCTAGCACACAAATTCATGCATCCAGGTAGAATTTATCGCTCTTTGACAAAAGGTTACAGTAAATTCCTCCAGCAACGGATTCTGGATAAACAAACTTTCCAGGTCATGCTAAAACCTTTGGTTCCTGTTCTGTTTATTACTACTCTTTAGGTTTAGTCCGATGTTTCAGAACCGGTCTACTACAAACCTTTTGTTTTGTTTACTAATTTGTTATAATTCTGGTGGTATTTTTCGTAAAGATGATGATGATTAAATGGGTAAATCTTTCTGTAAAGGGGTAAAATACCGATATTTTAACAAGAAAAAGTATGAACTGACTGAGATGTCTTTGACTATCATGACTTTTCTACAGCTAGATGTTCAAACGGTGCCAAAGGACGTTTGTGTCAGCATTCCTAAGCTAGGAAACTATTCATACTTGGGACAATATGCATCCATTTGGTCTCCAGATCCCCTTATCATAAATAATATCTGACCTTCTAATAAGCTCCATAGGAACACGTGTGTCAGAGAGAACATTCTTCTTCATAAAGACCTACTGCTGGTCTGAAAAGCTGATGACGGTCTTATCTTCGTCCATCAGGCAGTCTCGCGTTGATAAGAGTAATCACGGTAAAACTCAGCGGGAATGCCACAAATGTCAAACAGTACATACCGCGGATCGCCCCAGGGCTCGCACACAATGCTGCATTGTGCTGCTGGCTCAATGCCGTCATGGAGAAATGCACCTTAGAAAGGAAAATAAATCTGCTTTCCTGTTAACAAGGATAAATGTTTTTGTCTCTTATGAAGGTTTTTAGACAGAAAGCTCAATACTTAGTAACATTTGCACTAGAAGTGACTTACAAATTGACTACCATAAAAAGCTTGTTTGGTTTATTGCAATTTTTTACATTTGGTATGATAATTGATCGTCCTTACAAAGTAAAATGATTACTGAAATCGATTATTTTGGAAAATCCTCTGTTTGCAAACGTTTTTATGTTTATGCATAAAAAACTGTCCCATTTGGTTTTATATATAAGATAAGAGAGAAAGTTTGTTATTTAACAATTAGCCTAATCACATCTTTAAAGTCGTCTTTTTTTGGCCTCCAAATAGAACAACTTAATCAATGAAATTACAACTGGCTTCCGCCTAAATATTGCCAAAGAAAAGTACTGCAATCTGAGAAACAGACAGGAGCAAATTTAAAATGTTAAGAGCACCCAAAAAATAAACCACAGTAAAAAAAATAATAATAAAAAACCTGTAAACTCAGTCTGAAAGAAGAAAAGGGGAAAACAACTAGAAGTATTCGACCACAAAGTCGGGTTTGGAGAAGATCGTCGGGAAAGACAGGAACACTAATAATTCCTACGTTAATATACTGATGTTTGATGGATTGTTCTTCTTCTTGAGCATTGCCTGGCAGCAAGGTTCACTCTTGACCCCAGCATGAGGTCTGCCTGGGCATCTTTGGGATCCAACCAGAAACTCAGGTCTATCTTTGTCTTAAACTATGAAGACGTTGTAGGGATGGGCTCAAGGATAGTCTCGGTTTCAGAAGGTTCACACTCGGCCTCGGAACGTTCAGTCTCTGCCTCGGAACGTTCAGTCTCGGCCTCGGAACGTTCAGTCTCGGCCTCGGAACGTTCAGTCTCGGCCTCGGACCGTTCAGTCTCGACATCGGAACGTTCAGTCTCGACATCGGAACGCTCAGTCTCGGCCTCGGAACGCTCAGTCTCGGCCTCGGAACGCTCAGTCTCGGCCTCGGAACGCTCAGTCTCGGCCTCGGAACGCTCAGTCTCGGCCTCGGAACGCTCAGTCTCGGCCTCGGAACGCTCAGTCTCGGCCTCGGAACGCTCAGTCTCGGCCTCGGAACGCTCAGTCTCGGCCTCAGACCGTTCAGTCTCGGCCTCAGACCGTTCAGTCTCGGCCTCAGAACCTTTAGTCTCGGCCTCGGAACGTTCAGTCTCGGCCTCAGAACGCTCAGTCTCGGCCTCGGAACGCTCAGTCTCGGCCTCAGACCGTTCAGTCTCGGCCTCAGACCGTTCAGTCTCGGCCTCAGAACCTTTAGTCTTGGCCTCGGAACGTTTCAGTCTCGGCCTCAGAACCTTTAGTCTTGGCCTCGGAACGTTCAGTCTCGGCCTCAGAACCTTTAGTCTCGGCCTCGGAACGTTCAGTCTCGGCCTCAGAACCTTTAGTCTTGGCCTCGGAACGTTCAGTCTCGGCCTCAGAACCTTTAGTCTTGGCCTCGGAACGTTCAGTCTCGGCCTAAGAACGTTCAGTCTCGGCCTCAGAACGCTCAGTCTCGGTCTTAGCGGCTGACTGCTGACCTGTTGAAAAAACTCCAAATAAAGTCACAAATCGAGACTCTGCATCACACTGGTTTGTATACAAAATGACAATAAAGTTAATCTAAGTTTAAAGTCAGTATTAGGCTTAGATATTCAGTCTTTGTCTTAGAGGGTCTGTTCTTGGTCTAAAGGTGCGTTCCCACCAAACTCAATCTGGGCTTAAAAAATGCTAAAAGCCGACATTTGGATGTTGGGTCAACCGCTGGTTAAGATGTTTTTTTAACCTCGATGTTTTCTGTTTTGTAGCTTCCAGCTAGAGAGCAGCTCGGCTTTATTTACTTTATGAGTAGTAAAAATTGTTTCACGACCCGATCCGTCCAGGAAGTACGATCCGTACCATCAGCTCATTTGCGCCCCAAAATTTATCCGAATGTCCATAAATAATGTCATTATGATTCTAAAATTACTTATTTCCATCCTTAACTCACTAAAGAATGCATATAAACATCTTTAAAAATTGTTTAATGACTTTTCAGAGACAATTTGATGCTTTTTCCTTTTTCTCCATGAAACGTTTTGTCTGACGTCATCATGGGACACGATCAGAGCAGTAAATCTGATTAAACCATGTTTATCTGCTTTTTTAATTGATTCTTTCTTTAGATTAACTATATCGCATAATGTTAACATGAGAGGAAAACATAAAACTCAGACTAGATTTATGATTAAATCCAAAGCTAGCTCCAGTTAGCTCCAGGAAGTAGCGTAGCATCTCATTTCCTGTGCAGATCAGGAACAGAAGGATAAAACTGAAAGGATTTAAATGCATTTATTTTATGAGGAAATACATTATTAACCTTTAACACATTATAGTTTAGTACGCTTTCTATTTTTAGAGAGGGAAAATGCACTTTAAGTATTTTTTACAAAATAAAATTGCGGGCGACCAGGATGTATATCTGGATGTGCAAATGAGCTGATGGTACAGATCGGGCTTCCAGGACAGATCGGATTATGAGAAGTTCAACAGGATTATAATCCCACTATAATCTGCAGTTCTTGTTGGGAGCTCCAGACCTCCAGCTACCGCCAGGAGGCAGCGCTGGGAATCCCTGCTGGAAGCTCTCTGCTGCAGGCAGCCTGTGGGGGATTTCCTGCTGCCGCTCGTAGCGGCTGGAAGTGAATAGAAAGAGTTTTTAAGGTTAGATAACTGGACACCAAATCGATTGGATGAGTCGTTCCTGATGCTCAGACGCACCGCTGGACTCCTCCACACCGCCCCCCATAGACTGCATGTAAACCGGATGATCTGGTGAACGCACCATTAGATGGTTATTAGATCTTGGAGGCTGTGGTCTTGGTCACTGGTGAAATCTATTATTTAG